AGTCAAAGCTTTTACTATTACAAGTAAGTTGTTCTTACTAAATTTAAGATATTGCAATCTAACGGCATATTTAATATTTTTAAGTCAGTGTAATTTTGTAACAAAGCAAATTAAAATAATTATTTGAGACTTACTTGTACAACAACAAATCCAATGGGCTGGTACCAAAACTTTTCCGGCTCTCTTGATGCTCTCCACAGAAACAAAGTTTTTATGTAATAACTTTTTAATTTGTACATATTTGTGTGTATATCCCGAAATTTTTTAATAATCCTTAAAGCGTTCTTTAAATTATTTTTATTTTTTATCATTTCATTTTCTAGGTTATCGTAAGATGCACGAAATGATGTATCACTGTGTATAAATTTTAACGGTTTAGGGATGGCGTCCCAATCTTTCGATATGCTTGGTAAAATGGCTTTGGAACTGATTAACACTATAGCTGGCACAAAATCCACTGCATACATATAAGGTTCTTTGACAGAAATTGTATGTGCTGGACCTTGTTTGCTGTATGATAAAGTCGTTGTGATATCATTATAAGTTATTTTTTTATTTATATCATCTAACGCTTTTGTAAAACAGCTTTCCAACCAACTTTGCAGTATTTGTATGGAGAGTAGACTTTCGGAGGTAACCATTTTTTTTAACTGTTTATAAGTATTTACATGTTGCTTTTGATTTACAATAACATGAAGTACCTGTGATAAATCCAATTTTACATTTCCTGGTATTTTTTTATCCTTTACTACTAGTATGCGTTTTTCTTCCGGCAACTTAAGGCGGAATACCACATCATACTCATTGGGATATTTTACTTTCAAATTATCAGCATAACTCCCTGTAAACGAAAGTCAAATAATTAAATACATATGGAGAAAAGATCATAGAGCAAAGTTCGACTTCGTTACAAACATTTTTATATAAATCATATCCAAAGACAAAATATTTTCGAAAAAATAAAGAAATTATTATATACTTATCAAACACTCGAAAACTGATAGTTCCGCTTTGTACATGTGAAATTAGGGAAACAGACACCATTTTAGTTAAGTTATTAACATTTTGAGCATTTAACTATAAAACAAGTAAACTGTAATACGCTGGTTTCGAGCTATCGTATACAGAAAATGCTTGTTCGGTGCATTATTTCACATTCATGATGTTATGGCATGTTCGACACCGTGAATCACAATCCGTATTTAACTGATCTCCGTTGCTTTTAGTATTCTCCTAAATGCTTATCACAGAAAATTTTTTCAACCTAACATATATTTGCTCCGACGGAAGAAAAGCGAAGATATGAGCAAATATGTAAAAATTGTCCTTGAGGATTTCAACGCCAGGGTGGATGAAGGACATTATTTGTATTAATGAAGTTCTTCAAGAAGGAGAATCGACACTCACCACCTCTTCGTCGATTTCAAACCTGCTTTCGACAGCATGAAAAGGAGCTGTCTTTATGCCGCGATGTCTGAATTTGGTTCCTCTGCAAAACTTATACGGCTATGTAAGCTGACGTTGAGCATCACCAAAAGCTAAGTCAGAATCGGGAAGGACCTCTCCGAGCTGGTGAATACCAAACGAGGTTTCAGACAATTCGATTCCTTATCGTGCGACTGTTGTTGTTGTTGTTGTAACGATTATCAGTCCCCGTTGGGATGGTGAGGGTTATCAGTGTTGTCGTCGATGTCATCTAACGGGAGGCCCAGGAAACGTGCTGTTTCGACGGGGTCGGACCAAAGGGAAAGGGGTGTTAGATGGGTGGGGTTGGTTGGGCATGCAAAGAGGTGGCCAGTGTCATGCGGAGACTCGTTGCATGCAGGACATGCGTTGGGTATGTCAGGGTATATTCTGGATAAGTAGGAGTTTAGCCTGCTACAATATCCAGAACGAAGTTGCGCAAGGGTCACTCGCGTTTCTCGCGGCAACTCGAGCTCTTCGTCYSCTAWGGGTGGTGATTTGACTCCAAGTACGCCATTCACGGGGAAGGAGTCGGTGAAGGTGTTGATGGCTCCACTGTGAATGG